ATTAGACAGGTTCACGATGGTGGGAAGGTATGACCGTAAGAGCGAGGGGATGTGAGAAACGAAAGGTGGGATAGAGTTTCTTAGTTTCTGAAATTACATTTATGGACATAATATTTATGTGGTGGTAAGGTCTAATATGGGTATTTTCGTCTGTTTAAAAATGGGGACAAAGCGCATATTTTGTAAAGTGATTTGATTCTTTTATAAATTGTTTTAATTTATGTTTTTGAATTCTCTTTTAAAACTGAAATAGCAAATAACATTATCTAAAGTTCATTTGTCATATAAAATATTTATTTGCATTGCACTTGGATTATCCTAGAAAGAGAATACGTGCGCGCAGTGTAAATGTTAAAGAGAAAGCATTCCTTATAAGTAGTAAATTACTTGTATTCACTCGTACTGCCATACATATGAAGTTTGTATTCAATCAGTTAGGGGAGAATGTCTTGGGTCATAACGAGGATTTGCTATAGGATCATTATAGTTCAAGTATGGTGCTTGCATCATTTTTGAACTTGGAGGATGTCTTGGGTCATGGCGATGATTTGCTTCAGGATCATTATAATCCAGGTATGGAACTTGCATCATTTTTGCACTTGGAGGATGTCTCAGGTCATGGCGAGGATTTGTTCCGGGATCAGTATAATCCAGGTATGCACTTGGAGGATGTCTCGGATCGTGGCGAGGATTTGCTCCGGGATCATTATAATCCAAGTATGGTGCTTGCATCATTTTCGTACTTGGAGGATGTCTCGGGTCGTGGCGAGGATTTGCTCTTGGATCATTATAGTCCAAGTATGTTGCTTGCAACATTTCCGCACTTGGAGGATGTCTCGGGTCGTGGCGAGGATTTGCTCCCGGATCATTATAGTCCATGTATGTTGCTTGCATCGTTTCTGCACTTGGAGGATGTCTTGGGTCATGGCGAGGATTTGCTCCTGGCCCTACATAGTCTGTTATTTCTATTTTCCTCCTCCTCTTTCCATCTCCATTTTCTCCTAATAACAAGACAATTTAATAAAATCAGTGCACAAACAAACTGACATGTAAATATAGATGACATCTCAGTTATTTGACATGAAAGAATGTGAACAAATTAAAATTTGACCATCTTAATCTAGAACTTACTTGGTTCAATTGCAGCGGTTGAAAGAATGTGAAAAGAAAGAAGAAACAAAGCTAATAGGGTGAGAAAAGCCTTCACTTTCATATTGAATAAATAGTTTGGCTTTGGTGAAGTAAAGTGAGTTGAGTTTTTGGTGATGAGAAGAGACGATTATATATGCAGGGAAGCTGGTTAGGTACAAAAAATGTTTAATACAAGAGAAGAAATAGTATGGATTAACTTACATTTATTTTTTTAGAATCTGGATGAGATTGCTACCATCACCAAAAAGGAGGACATAATTTATTGTCCAATTTAGTCACCAATAAAATTAAAGTGTTCTCACTCCTATATATTTGCTGTTATTTTTACTATTATTTTTCTCCTGACCTGGAAGTCACCAATAAAATTGAATTATTCTCATTCCATATTTATTTGTTGTCATTATTATTATTATTATTATTATTATTCAGTTCTTCCATATTTATTTTGTTGTTATTATTATTATTATTATTATTTATGTGATAGTAGTAACTCCTCACCTTGTCACCAATAAAATTAAAGTGTTCTCACTCCATATTTTTTTTACTATTATAATTACCATTGTTATAATTTATTTTCATTTTTCCTGTGATGGTAGTAGTATCTCCTCGCCTTGTATACACCAGTAAAATCAAAATGTTCTCTCCATATTTATTATTATTATTTTTATCTGGTGGAAGACTGGTAGTATATCTCCTCGCGTTCCATACACGAGCAAGTGTTCAATTCTTAACACTTCAATTAATTTAAATTTATTCCACTAAGCTGTGATGGTTGAAGCTTGGCGCTAGGTTTGGAATGGCCGGTATTCGACTCTTTTCACTGCTAGATACACCGGAAATAAGGTATATCATTTTGTACTTTTTATTTATTTTTTCTTTTCTTTTCTTTTTTCCTTGGTACAAGAGAAAAAAATTAGATGGAAGCTAGGGAGAAAATAAGAAATGGATAAGACATCCCTAATAAAGATATTGTGTATTTCGTTCTTTTTGTTCGGTGGATAGAATAGAATAGAATAAACTCATAATTTACTATGTTCATTAATATTAAGATAGAATGAAAAGAAAAGAAAATTAATTATTTTTACCAATTAAACTTGTAATTTAAAATAAACCAATAATATTTATAATATTGTAATTTATATTGTAAATCAGTATAATTTAAAACTGGTATAATTTAGGATAGTAATTAATTTAAAATTTCAATAATAGTTCACTTGTCTTCCCCATTTTTTGGCGAATGAAAATTTGTAAAGGATCTTTCATATTCTCATTTCTCTCCTTGTATCATCTCTACCGAATAAAAAAAGTTGGTTCCTTCTTTTTTTATTTTTTCTTCATACTTCTTCCTTCTTCCTTACCGAAATACAACATTAATTTATTGATCCGATCACAAAAGATTGATAAAGCAGTACAACTTAGTTAATTCAAACTTTTTGTCTATTTTTACTTGACTATCTAATAAAACTCAAACTTTCAAAGTAACATATGTAGATAATGGCTAAGCAATTACACGTAGGGCTGCAACTTGGACGGGCAGAACTCTATATAACTTGAGCCCAGTCCAAAATTTTATGGGCTTGAGCAGTATTTTTCTAATTTCGGTTTGGGCCTGGGTTATATATTTTGAATCCAAATTCAATACGGGCTAAGCTTGGGTTGATATGGATGAAGAACAAAACCCAACCAAAGTCCGAAAATATTATATATATTTATAATTAGACTTAAGTCACAATAGTGTAGTAACTAAGTTGGTAGTGTGCTTGAGATTTAAGCTGAAAAAGTACAAGTCATGGGTGCAACATTAATTGATTTATATTTTGCAACACAAATTCTTCTGAGGTGGACTTAGTGTGGGCTTGGATTGGACAAAATTATGTATGGGCTAGACTTGGGCAGCTCGGCTCGGGCTGAACTTAGGCTGAATATTTTCTATATGGACCTAACCTGAGATGAGTGCCAAGCCCACTCAACCCGCTCGAGTTGCAACCCTAATTAAAAGGAGCCCACTGGGTTAGGCCCATAATGTTAAATCGATGACAAATATAGTACACAACTTTTATGTAACGACGAAATTACCCTTTTATATCCATTTTTGACATTCGCAAAACCAAAATGATATTCACATTTCACTTTTACTTATCATTTCCTAACCTTCTCTGATGATGTCAAATGAATGGATCCTAGGAGTGCACCCGACCAAATCTGAGTTCAGCCCGGGTTTGGATAAATCATTTTTACAAGTAGGATTGGCGTGGATTAAAAAAATTAAATTCAAATATTAGGTTTGGGTTAGGCCCATAATGTTAAATCGATGACAAATATAGTACACAACTTTTATGTAACGACGAAATTACCCTTTTATATCCATTTTTGACATTCGCAAAACCAAAATGATATTCTCATTTCACTTTTACTTATCATTTCTTAACCTTCTTTGATGATGTCAAATGAATGGATCCTAGGAGTGCACCCGACCAAATCTGAGTTCAGCCCGAGTTTGGATAAATCATTTTTACAAGTAGGATTGGCGTGGATTAAAAAAATTAAATTCAAATATTAGGTTTGGGTTGAGATGCTACCAACTCGAATCTAAATTCTAATATTATTTTCATATATATACATAAATTTTAAATACATTATATATATTATTCAAAATATGATCACCATTTTTCTTTTCAACTTTTAATTTTTTATGAATTTATTTGTAATTTGTAATAAAATTTTAAAATCTTTTTTTTTCTTTATTAGTAATTTAAACTAAAATGTGTCAAAAAAAAAAAAAAAACAACGAATTCAATATCACATTATAGGTAATTCAAATTAATCTGACTTTTTAATCCTAAATTAAAGTTCAAGTTTAAAAGTAAAAATAGGAAAAAAAAAAAAAAAAAAAAAAAAAAAAAGTAAAAAAATGAGTTGGAGTAATTGAATAGTTAGGGTTAAAGATAAAATTAAGATTTAGTCCAGATTAAATATTTTACATGTTAGATTGGACTCAACTTGTAACTAAAATTCGCGTGATCGACTGGAGTTGCCGGCTCAATGAATCCAAATAAATTATATAGGGGACCTAATTTTGACGTGATAATTCAATTGTTAGAGCTACATAGACCAGACAAATTACACTAATTGAGGAGTTTATTCAAATTCAGGAAAGTTGCTTGAAAAAAAGATAGGAGTATAATAATAATAATAATTTAATTTTTAATAATTGCTTGCATCATTTCTGGCCAAACAGTCACTTTATTTCTTTGAAGGTGGAGGATTCGCGGGGGTGTGTAATCTTCGTCCATTAGTACAACTTCCCTTCGCCTCATGTACCAATTTGCCACCAATTTCGTTGAAGGTGGAGGAGGAGGAGGAGGATGTGTATGAGGGGGTGTGTAATCTTCCCTCTTAAGTTCAACTTCCATCCTCTCCTTTGCCTCATCTACCAATTTCTTTGAAGGTGAAGGAGAAGGAGGATGTGTATGAGGGGGTGTGTAATCTTCCCCCATCAATTTAACTTCCATCCTTTCCTTTGCCTCATCTACCAATTTCTTTGAAGGTGGAGGTGGAGGCTGTGTATGAGGGGGTGTGTAATCTTCCCCCATCAATTCAACTTCCAATTTCTTTAAAGGTGGAGGAAAAGGAGAATGTGTACGAGGGAGTGTATCATATTTTACCTGAAAAAAATAGTTTACGTCGAAACGAGAACGAGCTGGATACAATTATTTTTTTATAAGCCCAAACTGGCTCAGGTTAGTTCTTCAAATATCATATTAGCATGTCCAAATATTTAATTCACCAAATTAATAATAATAATAATTATGAAAAGCAACAAAATTTTTGAGTATTACCTATGCCAATAAAAAAAGAACCATATCATATTAATTCTTAAGTTAGGTCATTGAATTATGTTTTAATAACAATAACTAAAAAATAAACGGAAAAGAAAAGATCAATCAAAAATATGTGGATCCACCAGTACATTTCTTTGCTTGGACAGCAATCACGAGTGGGACTTTGTCTAATTTCACTTCTTCCCTCCCCTTTGCTTAAAATAACAAATACGTCAAAAAGATTATTTAGAAGGGAAAAATGATATTCATCCTTCACTTTTATTTTTACTTTTATTATATATATATATATAAAATAAAAGTAAAAATATTAACCACTTATCATTTTTAAAAAAAAGAAATAAAATGATAATAATCATATTTTTTTTAATAAATAATAATAATCATATTAAATTAAAAAAAATTATTTTAATAAATTTATTATTATACCTTTTTTCATAAATTTTATCTTTTAAAAAAGAAAGGCATTTTAAACAAAATTTCATTAAATATTATAACATTTCCTTCTCTTTCCCAATTTTTTTGGGAGATAACAAAACCAACACATAATAATTTTTGCATATTAACCAACTTTCATGTTATATATTAAAAGTGAAAACTTCCATTAGATAGCCTAACAAGATAGATAGGATATTAAGAAAAAGGTATAGCCTAAAAAGGATAGATAGGATATTAATCCAAATAACAACATAAGAAACTAAATCTTTGAACCTGTTGGGATATATATATATATATATGTCTGCAATAATAATCAAGCTGTTCCGGGAGCTTTTGGATCATGGTTATTGCTTGCTTCTGTTCCTGGATAGTCTGTCTCTTTCTTTTCCATGTCCATCCTCCCTTTTATCAATCTTTCCTCTAATATCTCCCCATCAATCCTCAAATCCATTATATCCTATATATCAATTTAATTTAAGATGATTCATATATACATATATAATTACATAATTTCACTCATATTTAGGCTCAATTAATAAACTAGTGAGAGAGAGAACAAACCTGAGCAAGTAAATCCTGGACCGATACTTCTTCTTTGATTGGCTTGACGCTTCCTAATAATCACACAAATATATATACACATCAGAACTCACACACACACACACATATATATACACACACCACTACTTATATATATTGAAAGAAGTATATTGGATTGGATCCAATTAAATTGAATCATACTTGAGGTAGGAATTGCGACAGAGTACAAAACAAAGGAGAAACCCAGAAACAATACGAGCAATCGAAGAAAATAGGTGTGTTCCATGTATTTCATCAAACAAATCATTAATTAATGGAGCTGGAATTAAGCAGATTGGAGAAATGGTTGGTGAGAGGCAAAGGAAAGGATGTGGGTGGGTATGGTGATTGTGCACACACACACACACACACATATATATATAGATAGAGCTCAACCCAACAATTGAATATTGAATATACAAAGGAATATAATATGTAGGATTTTTTTTTTTTTTTATTCAATAACCTGAAAAAGAAACGTCATCTGGCATCTACATAGCAAGACCAAGAAACAACTAAGACATCAAAGAAAACATAAGACATGAAACCTTCTACAATAAGACAAACATCCAGCAAGGTAAAACCTCAAACTTTAAAGGGTATTAGAAAAAGCAAGAGTACTGGCATCAAGACAACTCCAGATAAGCAAGATATGGAAGTACAGCCCAAGAAACGATATTCAAATCTAGCGGCACCCAAATAGTCAAACGAAGGACCTATCAAATCACCCAAAGATCCCATAAATGCAACAAAATGCACCATCACACACGAAAAACCAAAGCACTCACAGCCAAGGCCCACCCAACGCCAGAAGAAAGTCTTGCTTCCAGAATACGTTTCCATGATGTCATCCATGACGTCATGGTTTTCCAACCGACACATTGACCGACCACCGATGAATCCGACAATCACGACACTACAGGCACCATAAACATCAACCACCTGCAAATGAAACGGGATAAACAAAGGCAGCCGCAACCTGGAATCCATCTAGCAAGACAACCTCCAATAACGATGGAGCAAAGATATCCACAGTAAGGCATAGAAAAGAGAGAGATCCTTGTGCAACGTGGACAGTAGGAACAAGTCGACAGTAGATTTGCGATGACAAACACCTAGATTAAAAGGGAAGATATGTGGAAATGGATATAGACCCATCCACTTATCACCGAACAAAAAATTAATAAAATTTACACATTTTTAAGAAATTTGCTTAGGTGTGAAATAGTGATAGCACCAAATAATTTTAATCTACCCGTCAAAATACAAAGTCAAATCTTTATTTATCAATAAGTCAAAATGTCTAACTAATGCTCCATTTGGCAGGCTAGTTTCGGAAAAAATAGATAGAATGAGGAGGGGAAGGAATGGATATGTATCCCTATAAATTTTTTTGTTTGGTTAGCTGAAAAAGAATAAAATTTGATATTATTATTTTATTAATATATCCTTAATGTACTAATTAATTAATACATTAGAATGAGGTGTGAGGTTGTCTTTTCGAAATTCTCTCCTCTTTTCCTTCCCTTTAGAATAGGAGCAAAATGGTGAGTCACAACTTATAAGGCCATCTGCACCAGTCTCTCCAGATTTTAACTCTCTAAAAATGTCAAATCAGCTTTTTCAAGAGCCATGTCAGTAATTTCAAGAGTCACGTCAGTAGTTTTCGCTCTCCAGAAACATGTACTCCATCAGGCTCTCCGAACTTTTGCTCTCCAAAAATAATAATAATAAAAAATTAAAATTAAAATTAAAATTTATTTTTTAACTTTTCCTAAACGGCTATATTTGTAATGGCTATATTTTTAACTGCTATATTTTTAAGTAGATGGATTTGTAATTTTAATTAATTTTTTTTTTCAAATAGTGCCTTAACGGCTATTAAAGCAAAAAAAAAAAAAAAAAAAAAAAAAAAAAAAAAAAAAAAAAAAATTTAAGGGAAAAAAACAAAAAAACAAGCTTTTTAAATTTATTTTTGGCCCAAATAAAATTTATTTTTGGCAAACAGTGCCTAAACAATATATTTTTATTTTATATATTTTATTTTATTTTTAAAAAATAGCTCAAAATAACCTATTTTTAGGTTTTAAAAAAAATAAATAAAATCTGCCAAACAGTGCCTTAAGCGCACTGTGGAAGGAGCAAAGAAATAAGACAAAAAACGGTACAGCATAAACGGCGTCGTTTTGACGCAAAAAACAAAAAAAATTCAGCGATCGCGGCCCGGCTCGCTGAATACCGCGAGCCGGGCCCCGACCAAAAACTGGGCCCACGCATTTTAGCTAGGGCGCATTTGGTCCTTGGCTCGCAGAAATTAGGCTTCCGCGAGCCCGCTGCAGATGGCCTAAGGGATGGCTAATCCCACCATCCTTCCCTTATCCAGGGGCGGAGCCAATTAAAGCCCAGAGGGGGCACGTGCCCCCCCTCACTTTGCTCCAACCTAATATACATAGGTACATATTTTTAGTATATAAATATACTTACATAGTAATTTTAAATAGTGCCCCTCCTCAAATTTTTAAATTCTTCTAATTTCTTTTTGAAAAAAAAAAAAAATTACAATTATCCCTTCTTCAAGTATACAATATATTTTTCCTTTTCTAATTTTTGTTTCCTTTTTCAAAAAATTTCTTTTTTCACTTATATATAATTATATATTTTTCTATTTTTTTTAAACTTATTTCTTTTTATCGATGACATTTGTGATTGTATTTAATTAAAATATTATTAATTAATATTTTAATTCTTATATTTGTAACTATATTTTTTTTACAATATTTATTTAGCATATTATTTTACAATTATTTTTTTCTTATTTTTCTTTTTTATTTAAAAAAATTATACTTCCTATTTATCATGTTTATTTATTTATTATTTTTTTTATAATAAATATGTTATATCCTTCTAAAATAAAATTTTGACTCCGTCCCTGCCCTTATCCATCCAACTCTCCTCCTATCAAATGATGAACACTCGTTTCATTCTCCTCTTCTCCCACCGAACCAAGTCTCGTCTTTTATGTATTGAATATTATACATACTTCCACTATATAAATATATATATACACACACACACACACCATCCAAAAATATCATGATGACCTATGAGACCTGACCTAGAGCCAGTGGTTACTTTGCCTAGATATTTTGCTCCTCTCCATGGTCGGGTTGGATTGAGGCTTGAAACTAGTCCACCAAAGCTCAACCTCTTCTGAGTAGTAATTTAGTTCAACTGTTTTAGGTAATCTTGGTTAGAGAAGATATTGAAAAGAAGGGAAGGAGGAAAATTGAGTTAATTGTTTTGTTTGTAAACCAAAGTTATAGTATTTTACCATTAATTTGTCCTATTAACAAAATTTTCCATCCCAAATTAATATATCAATTATAGTGATTAGAAAATTATGTAGTCCAACACCTTACAAAATTCAGAATTTTATTATCAAAATGGCTGCTTTTATAATATCCCTTTTCAAATTGTACTTTATTTTTTCTGCAAATTTATTTATTGGAATGGAATGTTGGATTTTAAAGTGATTATAAGCATATAGAATCATAGTTGGTATATAACAGTCTTAGACAGATGTACAAGGAATCATTTGACGGTAGTATTGATGGCAAAAGAGTAAGAGCATCCGCAACTGGACTCTTCAAAGCCCAATTTGGACTAGCGAATGAACTGTATAAAGTGCAGTGGGCTAGCTATAAATGTTGGGGCCCATTAGCAATCATGGGTCGGCTTGCGGTATTCAGCGAGCCAGCCCGCGATCGCTGTTTTTTTTTTTGTTTTTGGTTTCTTTGACCCAAAACGGCGCCGTTTTGGGCTGCCACTATTTTGTTTTACTCTCTAACTTATGCACAGTGAGCCGAACAGTGGCATAATTTTTTTTTAAAACCTAAAAATAGGTTATTTTTAGCTCCTTATAGAAAAAAATTTAAATAAAATTCATTAAATAAAAAATATATTATTTAGGCACTGTTTAAAAAAAAAAAAATTCTTTGGGCCAAAATAAATTCAAAAAGCTTTTTTTTTTTTTTGTTTTTTTTCCTTAAAATTTGTTTTATTATTAATTTTTTTTTTTTGCTTTAAATTGTAATCCTTATTTTCTTATTCCAATTCATTATTTTTAATCCTTATTTATTTGGGACAAAAATAAATAAATAAAAATTTTAACAATTTTTGTAAAAAAAATAATTAAAATTACAAATTCATCTACTTATTTCCATAGAATTTTGTAATACTTATTTTCTTATTTTAATTCATTATTTTTAATCTTAAAAAATAATTACATAATAAAAATTCTAGTATACGAAATGTCATAACATCTTAAAAGCACACAAAATGCAAAATAAATTAAACATCATCATTAACATAGCGATTCCAAATATAACCGTTTAGGAAAAGTTAAAAAAAATAATAATAATAAATAATTAATTTTAATTTTAATTTTTTATTATTTTTTTTTTAGAGAGCGAAAATTTGGAGAGCCTGATGGAGTGTGTTTCTGGAGAGTAAAAATTGCTGACGTCATTTTTTAAATTGCTAGTGTGACTTTTAAAAAAGTTGATGTGACATTTTTAGAGAGGTAAAATCGGATGAGACTGGCGCATATGGTCTAAAACCATGAACCCAACGTGAGTCATACGTGAAGATCAGATCAGAAATGTGTTTGTGGCTTGGGATATTTCTCTTTCAATGAAGTGGTTGGAGTCTCAATTGTCCACAATGAAATTCACATATTGTGGGCCTCTCCTTCTAGACGTGATTTATTTTACTATTATAACTATTTTTATTATTCTAATCAGCTGCATATAAACACATGACACTTTTACAACAAAAAAAAAAAAACTCGGCAGTTTTGACACAATGCGACCACAATTATGATGTCATCATAGATATTCTATGTAGATGTGTGTATATATATGTATATATCATAAGCAACGTGTATTCTTTCCACCCAATTTTTAAAAGCAGAATGCTTTACTCACCAGTGAATAGGATGAAGTTACACACCTCTATGTAGTCCAATAACAAAATACTAAATCACACTTAATAATAAAATAATTCACATCTTTCTTTATTTTTTCGGATCAACCATTGAATAAATGTATATTGTGTTTTTAGGTATGAATTATTTTATAATTAAATGTGATTTGTTATTTTATTATTGGACCAAATAAGGGTGAGTAATTTCACCCTACTCACCCGTTAGTAACTAAGCATTACTCTTTTTAAAATAAATATAAATGGCATTTATACACTTTCGAAGGGATGAAACTTCCAAAATCTTAATACCAACAACATTTTCCAGTGAAGAAGATTGAGAGAGTTCAACTGGCTAATAGAGAGAGTTTGATACACACAACCTTATGAATGATCAGTTAGCATTTTGAATTTTAGTCTACAGAAATGCAGTACAAATCTTACAGACTATTAGAACCCCAATGGGAGGGTTGCA